CTTTGCTCGGGTCGAGCGTGAGGACATTGGCGACTGCTACCCTTAGCTTCACCTCCTGCTGCAGCTGCTGGGCGCCTCCCGTGCCGGTGCACTCCAGGCGGTCGTGCAGGAAGTCTGCCAGCCCGCGGCACGGCGGAGCCAGCTGGGGAGCTTCAGCACCTGGGGTGGGATACTGGGCCTGGAGATGCGCTGGCGCCGCTGCAAGCCAGAGCCATGGCGCCTCCTGCGCCATGTCCAGGACACGCTCCCAGAAGCTGTCGTCGAGAGCTGTCTCGATCTCTCCTCCCCTGGCTAACGTGGCAATCGTGTCTGCCAGCTCGTTCCAGCCGTTGCCTTCATGCGCCGGGACATGCTTCCAGCTGAAGTGGGTGACTGCCTGCAAGAGCTTGTGCATCCCGTCAAACACTGTGGAGAACGGGGCATACGTGGCAAGGGAGGCCCCTCCTGCCGCGATGTCGAGCACGTAGAGGCAGTCCGAGTGGAAGGTGATGTGCGGCATGGGGGTGTCCATGAGGTGGACCGAGGGGTCTGCCTGGTGCAGCTGGAGAACCCACATGGCGGCGGCCGCTGCTGCACAGACTTCTGCTGCCACGGAGGGCTGAGCAAACTTGTCCGCGAGGTCCGGCATCGCTTGGCCCAGGTAGCCGATGTTGGACATACGCCCCTGCTCGTCTGTCCCGATCACCGTGAAGGCCCACGACGGAGGACCTGGCATGTGGCCCTTGTCCGCACCTCCTGAGCCATCTGTGTAGATGTCCAGGGAGACATACCCGAAAGGAGATGCTCTTCGGCCTGGTACCGCCGCGAAAGCATCCTCACAGCATTCCGCCAGGAGCGCCTTGGTGGAGCTGTGGAGAGAGGGACCCAGCACGCCCTCGTCCAGGGCCGTGAGGTCGAAGGGCCAGGCTGCCCGTAGCATGCTGAGTGCATGCTCACAGCCTGGCAGCGGCACCACGCGTCGCGGCTGCCGCCCTTGTAGGTCTGGCTGGGTGACATCACTAGGGGCCCCGCCCTCCCTGTCACCTGGGAGCGGGGTGTCCTCGGCGAGGCCCCGTGTTTGTCACTGGGATGGCCTGGCCGCAGCGCTGGCCGGACTGGCCATCGACGCTGTCGAAGACGCTGCAGCTGGGGAGGCGGGAGACCCTCCTGGCATCCTGTCCGCTAGCCCTGGGCCGGCATGCTGCCTGGCCTCGGGTGAGCGTGAGCGCTCCTCTCTCCCTCCTTCTTTCTTGGTCGCCGCCTCTGCTGCGGGTCGAAGCTGCAGCCTGGTCTGCTGCCTGCCCGCCTGCTTGTCCCGCTCGGCCTCCGCCGATGCCCGCTCCTGCTCGCGGGCCAGCTTGTCTGCGGCTGCCTTAGCGGCCCTCTCATTGGTGGCCGCGATAGCACTGCCACCTGCATGTGCCACGGGGACTGCTGCTGCGGCCTGCAACTGCTGGGCTGAGGCTGCGGCTGAGGGTGCCTGTGCGGCGGCGGCCAGGAGGTTCGAGTTGATCTGCATCATCTGCTCCATCAGCTGCGCCATGCCTTTCTCGAGTGAGGCCACGCGCTGCTGCGTCTGTGCGACCTCCGCCACTTCTTGCCTCGGCCGCGGCGTGGATGGCATGTCCTCGTCATTGCCATCTCCGTACTGGTCGCGTGCTTGGCGTGGCTCACTCTCTTCGTCGAGGCAGGACGAGAGCTCCTCGGCCTCCACATCCCCTGATGCTGGTGGGCTCTGCCATGCACTGCGCCTTCCCTGCGCCCGCGGCTGCGGCGGCGGCGCAGGGTACGAGCAGAAGTCTGCCATGTTCAACATCTGCTCCAGGAAGACCTGAGCGTGCTCAAGGTCCTGCTTCGCCTGCTTGGTGTCGGCCTCAGCTGCAGCCATCTTGAGCTGCGCGGCCAGCTCTGCGTCCTTGGCGCCCTCTAGCGCCCTGCGCGCCTTCTTCACGAAGGCCTCCTGCTTGTCGGCCCTCGTCGCCGGGTCCCTGGACAGGATCACCTGGCAGTGGATGGCGGCATACTCCTGCTCCGCCTTGCGCAGCCTCGTGGGGTCTGGGGCCACCTGCCCGCGGATGGCACGCACCCTGCCCTCGGCTGCCGTGAGCGCCTTCCTGAGCGACTCACGGTACTGCTTCAGGCCCGCGGCCTGCTGCGGGGGCGGTACCCATGCGCTGTGGAGCTTGGCCTGCTCCGGCAGCATGGGGAGGATGCCGAGCGGCTCCTTGTCAATGGCCGCCGCGGTCTGCTCCTGCGAGGGCTGGGCTCCCTTGGGCTTCGCCTCTCGTTGGCCTCCTCTGCTGGCCCCACGCTCGCGGCGGCGCTGCTGCCATGGCGCCTCCTGCTGCCTCTCTCCTCCGCACTGGCGGCAGGACTTCCTCGTGGCGAAGTTGGAGGTGTGGCACTCCCCGCAGCTCCACGGCGGGACCGTAGCATCGCCACCGTGCTGACCCCGTTGGCTGCCTCCACCTCCGCTGGCCGCGCGGCGTCCGCCCTGCGGCGCCATCGCGCTGTGATGTTG